GTGTGTGTGTGTGTGTGTGTGTGTGTGTGTGTGTGTGTGTGTGTGTGTGGTGTGCGTTTATCTACTCATCCATTTCTGGGCATCTGAGCCCACTCCATAGTTTGACTACTGTGGAGAGCCATAGCAAACATGGGTGTGTAGGCGTCTCTCGGTGTTACATTTGATTCCTTGTTTGTTTATGTGGGTTGGTGATGTGGGTGCCAAACCTGCATGTGGAGGTCCCACTTGCAGGAGTCAGCTCTCTCCTCTTACCACGTGGAACCCGGAGATCAAACCCAGGGTGAAGAAGTATATACCTAGGAGCTGGGTAGTATGGTAGATCTTGTTTTAATTATCAGTATTATTTGATAAACCCTCAAACTTTCCACAGTGGCTGTGCATATTCACACAACTGTTAATTGTAGTATGAATCTTAACTGTTCTTTATTAATAAAATCAAACCCGAGGCCAGTTATTGGGGTTAATGCTGATAGATCAGAGAGACAGAACAAACCACAGCTACCTCACCTCGCCAGATCCTCAGCTGGTCCTGTTTCCTCAGACTGGAGGCCTCTGAGTCCTCAACCAGAATGGGTCTCAGCTGAACTGCTGCTAGAAGCCTGAAAGCTTAACCAGCCAAATGCTTTACCAGCCAAATGTTGCTAGTTTCTGGTCCTCATGCCTTATATACCTTTCTGCTTTCTACCACCACTCCCTGGGATTAAAGGCTTGCTTTCTGGGAATAAAGGCGTGGTGATGAGTCACCGTGCCTGTCTGTATCCTTGAACACATGGATTTCTGCCTCTGGAATGCTAGGATTAAAGGCGTGTACTACCACTGCCTATCCTTTATGTTTAATATTGTGGCTGCTCTATCTCTGACCCCAGATAAGTTTATTAGCATGCACAATATTTGGGGGAATACAATACCACAGTTAACAGTTTGGAAGGATTCCTTTTCTTCCATACTTGTTTTGCTGTTTGTTTTTTATGATAACCACCTTGACCTTGATGAGCTAGACTGTCGATGTGGTTTGGCTTTGTTCTTTTAGTTCCTTTGAGACAAGGTTTCTCTGGCTGGCCTCGAACTCACAAAGATCCACCTGCCTCTGCCTCCCAAATGCTGGGATTAAAGGTGTGCGCCACCACTGCCTGGTGTCAATGTGGTTTTGATTTGCATTTTCCCGGTGGCTAAGAATGCTGAACATTCTTCATAATTTAATAGACATTTGTAATCCTTCTTTTGAGAGCTGTCTGTTCAAGTTATTAATCTGATAACCTTTTAGTGGTTATTTTCTCGAGTCTTTAATACATTCTAGATATTAATCCCCAGTGTAGATTTTCTCCTGCTTTCTTTGCTCTGCAAGAGCTTTTTAATTTCACACAATCTCATTTGTTAATTCCTGAGCCAGTGACATCATTACCCGAATCTGTAGCTTCAACTGCTTTTCTTTACTCATTTCAAGATTTCAGGTCTTATGGAGTGACCTTTAGACAGGACCACCTCATTCTGCATGTGGATATCAGTTTTCCAACACTATGTGTCTTTTTGCCAATATGTTTTGGGCACTTTTAAAGTTGAAAATCAGCGGGTTGTGGCTGTGTGGTTTACTTCCGGGTCCCCTCTTCTGTCCCATTAGTCTACATGACTGTTTTTGTGGCAGCCATGCCATTTCGGTTTGTGAGATTTTGTTACCGACACAGTAAAAAAACAAAACAAGACAACAACAACAACAACAACAAAAAACCACCTTAGTTTATCAATTGACATCATTTGTATTATTGATAGTTTTGTGTTAGTTTTTTTTTGTTTTGTGGTTTAAATTGCAATTTGAATATAATCATGCATAACTGCTAAAACTGAATAAATCTAGAGAGCAGGATGTATTCATGAGATATGGATATCCTGTTTTTTCCTCCATTCTCTCCTTCTAAGTAATCAGTTTAGTATTTATTCTCCTGTAATTTCTATGTGAAATATAATTAAATGTGCATACCTGTCAAAACAACACACATGTATGTTCTCCCATACTTTTAACAAGTTTCTCACATCTGTAACTTCTCGTAAGAGAAACAGAAGTTTATGTCAAAGTGACATTCCATGGCCATTGTGGCCTGTTGGGTGCCTTCGGGCAGGAGAGGGAACAAGCGCAGTTTCTGAACAGGGGAACTATGGCACACAGTCACCAGTTCAGTTCTGGCCACACACTTGGTATCTGTATCAAATTTGATCTTTAACATGTTTTCCGCGGCTAAAGGGACGTCTCCAGAGAAGATGGCCACAAGACAATTACTAACCTGAAGCTGCTGCCTGTGGCCTTGGGGGGGGGGATGTCTGGTAACCATATGCTGCTTGTGAACTTGGCTATGGTGATATTCTGGGTTTGCCTGAGTCCAAGAAAACCCCGGGGGATCGGGGCCAAGGAAGAGGAGATTCCCCGTCATTCGACAGAGAAGCAAATGACCAGACAAGTCTTTTTGCCCACACTGTCATTTGGAGGACCCACTCAGCACATTTATGAAGCACCTTTGGCTTTGATTAAAGGACAAGAAAACACAAAGGAAATTTAAAAAGTCGAGAGAAAGTGAGGCAAACCATCATTTTCCCCAAGTATAAAATGAAGTGCTGCTGAACGTGGTGGTGCATATCTGTAATCCCAGAAATTAAATAGCGGAGGCAGGAGGATTGTTAAAAGTAAAAGGCCAACCTGGGTCAAACACTGTGCCACTTAGGGCTACATAGCAAGACTTTGTCTCAAAAAGCTATAACAAATCAAATGCTTCTCAGAATGTGCTGAATCGGCTCAACTATTGGCAGCCCCTAAGAGGGACAGGCATACAGCTTGTGTCTTTCACTCTCTGCCGTCTGGAAAAAGAACTGTCAAAGTGGGCAGGCAGGTGGCACAATTTCCACATGTACACAGGCACACAACACTCACACTCCAGGCTTCCCTGAACACATCCTGGCTATCCCTTGGCACACAGCACAATCAGTAAATACCTCTGAAATGGATGGATGAGCATGATATCTATCCTGATATCCACACGGAAAGGAGCCAGAAACTTGGCCACCACAAACAGATCTATTCCAGAGGGATGTCGGGTGGCGTTTTCCGTGGTTGGTGTTCTGAGCACACGGCTCGTGATGCTTTGTGTCTGAAGTGTAGCTGCGGCGCTGGCACAGTTATGAGCAAGCCCTTTATGAGGTCATCATCCTGCTCCTTCCAGAACCACCCCCGATGGGGAGATGTAAGCCACTTGGGGAGCCCCATGGCTCGCTTGACAAACTCTCTTCTGAAGAACATTGTCATCAGAACTCAGTTTGACAGCGTCAGGAGGAAACAGTGTCTCCAGTATCTGAACACTCTGAGAACTCTGCAATATGATGGATATAAGACTGTGTATTTTGGGGAAACTGAGATCCCAGAAACTCTTGTCACTGGGGAAGATTTTAGTGATAGCTATTACATGAACACTCCAACCTGGTGTATTCTGCATGCCGGAGGCAGTCAAGGGTGGGTGCCTTGGAAATACCGGATGTTCTTAAGAGACGACCTGTGCATCAAACCGGAAGACAGCCTCTTCTTTGAGTTCTGTGATGTTGTGAAGAAGGCCTACGGGAAGTGCGCCATCGTGGTCAAAGGACGAAGGCAACAAGACGAGATGAAACCAAAGGCCGATAAGGAGGGGGGCGCCCAGGCCTGTGCCCCAGCAAGCGTTAACTTAACCAGCATCGTGTGTTCTCCGGGAGTGGCCAAGTCCTATGGCCATGAACTAATCTCTCTGCCCTCCCCCTATAACTACCTGAACCCCTTAGACTCTGCCTGGTCTTCTATGAAATGGTTCATCATCAACAACAGGAAAGAGTTTTGTCTGCAGTCTGTCGACAACGTCTACGCGTACCAGTACATACTTTTCAGCGACTTAATTAGCAAAGGGATCGAAAAGGTCAGCCTGAGCAAGTGGAAGGCCCTGACCAGCAAAGTGCGGAGGTGGGAGAATTACTATCTGGGGAAGTTTTCCTAAGGGCGTCTCCTCCACGAAGAGACCAGCCGGATGCTCTTTACTGCTGACTGTGGAGTTTGATTCTGGCCCTCAGTCACCACAGACACCTCAGGAGTAAACTCACAGGAATGTTGCCTGGACTGAGGGGTTCCTGGGGGTACTGGCAAGGTCCTGTGGTTCCTAGAGGCGCCATTAAAGTTTGTTAATAGTTACAGGGGTGGTCTCAGCTCTCATCTTGTGATAGCTACCTTAAGGACCATGTTCACAAGGAGGATAGGGAAGACTCAAGCCCGGAGGACTGTAGTGGTGAGCAAAATTAAAGGATGTATGGTCAAAATTTAGGTTTAAGAAAAAAAAGAGAACCCGGTGTGTAGTTATTTAAAAAAAAATAAAAACACTCAGAATTAAATACTAAGCCAATAATCTTCAGCCAAAATAATCCAGGAAGATCTAGCTTGCTATGAGCAAGAGACATGATCAGATGGCCAAGTAGATGCTAGTCTTCTGTGAGGTGGTGGTGGGTGAGCGGCCCCTGCCCAGGTCAAACCCCACCATATGTCTAAGGCAAGTGGGTGGTCCACCAGAGGGGGCCCGGGAGACACCACATGGTCCAACAGGTCTTAGGTAAATGGGTGGCATGAGAGGGGGCATTATGGAACCCACATATCCAACCTGCAAGGATCCCATCAGGAGGGTACGAGGCTGCCATTTACCTCAGGACTCTGAGCAGAGTCTCCTGCAGTTGGTCCAACACCCTGTTCAAACTCAGGGTGCCTGCTGTGGGCCGGAAGGATTGGTGGTTGCATGTTTGTTACAGAAAAAGCCCGTCCCCTGTGGAACCCACCACCAAGTTCATTCTTCTTGTATATGTTCAAGCAATAACTTTACAACAGAAGGAATCACCCTGAGGTGCATGAAATAATGACCAACATGGGAAAGTATGGAAAGCCACGAGGCAGGGGCAAAGAGGGCGTGGGAACTCTGCTCTTTGTGTTCAGTTTTGCCGAACCTTAAAAAAAAAAAAAAAAAGCTCTAGTCTATTAAAAAATAGCTTGTGAAAGTCTCCAGCTGACTCCCATCAGACTTAACTGCAGATGAAGCCATGAAGCCAGGTTTTTGCCAGACACAGAATGCTTCGTGGTCTTGGCTTGGCTTTATTCTTTCTAGAACCTTCTTGTGCTATTCAGAAAGAGGCTGTGGGGTGAAAAGAGGTGTCGAGGGCTTCGATGTCCTTCAGTCACAAGTGGTGGGTTCAGCAGACTTTTCAGGTTGGGAAAGGGAATCTTAACATACATCTCATCTAAGGGGGTCACACCCCAAGCTACCAACCATGGGCACCTACAAAGTTCCACCTGTTGCAGATCCAACATTTACACTGTGCTGTATGGGTTTCCGGTGACTGCTGTAACAAATGACTCCAAATTTGGTGGCTGGGAGTGGCAGCTTATTCTTTCCTGTTCTGGGCATAGGGAGCCAGACATCAGTTACACTGATCTGAATCAAGCTGTAAATAGCACGGCGACACTGCTCGGGGCTCTGGGGAAGACTGCCACAGACGGCTCCACAGATGTGCCACAGACGGCTCCACAGATGTGCCACAGACGGCTCCACAGTTTCTGGTGGCTGGCTTGCCCTTGGCTAGTGGCCTCATCACTTTCTTCTCGCCTGGGTCAAATCTCCCGTCTCTGTACTTAGAGTCCATTTGACACGATCTTCACATCTTTGCGTCCTTAACTGACCACATACGCAAAGACTCTTTTCCACGGAAGAAGACACAGCTCTGGAAAGCAGGACCTGAATGCTCTGGCCAACCACGGCCGCAAAGCTGTCAATGCCTCCTTACTCTGCTCCTTAAACACACCATTTCTCTTTGGCAATTAAGCTGCCAAACCAACTCTGTGTAGCACACTTGTGTGGTCTTTTCTCTACTTCACAAGTACTCTGAGGTTTAAATTCCTTGGGAGCAGTTAGCATGACTAGCCTTTAGACTTCCTTGGTCTCTTTAGCTGTCACTGTGCAGACGCAAGTGACACACGCCTGAGTTTGGGGCTGTAAGTGGGGCTGCCCTTTGACTATATTGATGATGTTGATCTCACACTACCCAGAGTTCTAGGGTGATAAGAACCGTGGACTCTGGTGTCAACTCTCCTCGCACTTGATGTGTCCATGTCTACATGGGCCAGCTACTGCATGAGTTAATTCACTTAACACCACAGCAGATGCAATGTAGGGATGACTGTGTCTACATTTTACAGATGTGGAAACCTGGGGCACAAACCTGTGGGAGGGGCTGCTGTGCACAGAGCTAAGATTCATATACAGTTCACAGTTCACTATCACACTGCCTCGTTTACCACATCACTACCCACAATACCTTGTTTACCACGTCTCTACCCACAATGCCTTATTTACCACATTACTACCCACATTGCCTTGATTACTACTACATCACTACCCACACTGCCTCTTGTCCGAGATGACCTGCCAGGCAGCTGCTATCACTCTTCCCTTTGACAAACACGGAAGCTGAGGGGTGAGCCAAGTCCCTAAGGTAGTCAGGTCATAAGGACAAGCTTGTCCACTGTGCTCTACTTGGAGCATGCTCGACTCCTCATTTACATTCTATAAGAAAGTCAGCACAGGCACCACCCAGCATCAGCTACACACCACAACAAAATGTATTTCAGCCCAAAATTGAGGGGAGGCAGGACACCTTTAAAGCCTCGTGAGTTTGCAGTGCAAAATAAATACAAACAAGCAAACAATAACTAAGCAAAGCAATTGCACATCCTGTGGGTATCAGATGACAAATAAGTGAGTGGGAGTGTTTCTCATCTACACAGCAGGCCTGGAGCTCCATTGCTTTGCAGCTTTCTTTAATGCTGAGACGAGCAAGCAGAAGGGAGTTCAGTGTAACCAGTGCCCTCAGCGGGGCACCTTAATGTGCAGTTTGGTAACGCAACCCCAGACTCACAATTGTGAAACGTGTGTTTGTGATACACACAGAAACGAAAGCAGAAAATCAGAGGCCACACCGACCTTGGGACCAGGAGCCCCTGTGGAAATCCTGAGACCTTGTAAAAGCTGCTTGGCTTCCCTGAGACCCAATCAACTCATCAGGAAAATGGGTTAAGGGCCTTAAAATGGAGTCCTGTGTGCTGAAGCCACCATAGACGCCTAGCCCTTCTTGAGAGCTCAAAATGAAGCCTGTGTCATGGCTGAGAGGTCACAGTTAAACTAATGTCTCCGCCTTCATTTCCTTCGGTTATTTGAGGAGTCAACTTTGTCCCCTGGCATTTATGACCATCTGCAGTAGGTGATGGGAGTCACAAGTTTATCCTTGTGGAGGTGGGACAGGGAGGCTGGACAACACAGCCCAGAATCTCTCTGGGAAGAGCCCAATGAAGGTAATAGTGGACAGCGCCACGCACCAGTGCACACACCAGCACACACACCAGTGCAGGGTTGAGCCACATCACCACAGACATGTCCTCTAGAGTAGCATTTGTGGTGTTGGTGGTGTTAGTCTCTCCTGAGGGTGGGCTGATGGACAATCCCACGCTCTCTGGCCTTTCTGCTTCTAATAACTATCTCCCTTCTCCCCCCCCCCTCCCACCATCTTCCCATGGACCAGAGGAGATGTCCCAGAACATGGTGGTCTAGAAAATGATGCTGTCTTAGAACCAGTGTGAATAAATATGATAGTTTAGATATTACCCCACCTGGCATATCCTGTGTTTTGATACCTGGTCCCCAACTAGTGGCACTGTTTGGGAAGCCGTGGGTCTAACAAACCAAGAGGGTCATCGGAGGGTATACTTTGAGGGCTCTCCCCCCCCCCCATTCTGCCTCCAGTCCTTCCTTCCTTGCTGGTACAGCCATTTCTACCAGCTCCTGCCACCAAAAGACAGCTGTCCTGTCGTGTCCTACCAAGACCATGTCCTACTTGGACTATACCTGAATCCAAGTCCATCCTTCCTCCTTTAGGGTCCCCCTGTCAGGCATTTTATGCCATCAGGAGAAAAGTAAGCAACATAATATGCAAATAGAGCCTTTGCCCATTGCCTCTAGAGTGCCAACCCAGTTGGACAGTCCCACAAATGGTACATACTTCTTCCATGTGTGATTTTTTTTTTTTGTGCATGGCAACTCTTCTTTCCATATTCAGTTTTTCTTGGTTCAGACAACTACTATGTCCAGGGCAATGACCTTTAGGCTCATTTACAAACACAGACATGACTGGGTTGGTGACTGACACCTAGACACATACACTGCCAGTGACCAGATGATGAGAAACCAGAATCCAAGTCTTCCTACAAGGAAGTCCCTGTGTCAGTCTCTTCATGGCATTAGGTTGGGCCAGGAACCCACAAAGATGTCACCTGACTGTCAGGTGCATCCTCTCACCCATCAAAGTAAGAAGTGCCAAGGGGACCGTCCATGGTGCACAATGGCCCTCAGGCACCAGGACCCAGGGGCCTAGCTCTGTTGTGAGAACAAAGGTCTTTTTATCCACAAATCACTAGGGAAACCTGTAACTAGAGTTTTTCTGCCTTGCCCACAGTTAGGACAAATCTCTCTCACCTGCCAGTCCCACAGGCGCTCAGACCCAACCAAGTAAACACAGAGACTTATATTGCTTACAAACTGTATGGCTGTGGCAGGCTTCTTGCTAACTGTTCTCATATCTTAAATTAATCCATTTCTATAAATCTATACTTTGCCACGTGGCTCGTGGCTTACCAGCATCTTCACATGCGGCTTGTCATGGTGGCGGCTGGCAGTGTCTCTGACTCAGGTTTCCACTTCCCAGAATTCTTCTCCTCCTTGTCCCGCCTATACTTCCTCCTGCCTGACTACTGGCCAATCAGTGTTTTATTTATTGACCAATCAGAGCAACACATTTGCCATACAGACCATCCCACAGCAGAAACCAGGAATGCTAAACACACAGGTCTGTCTCTTCAATGAAGGGTATAATACCTGCATTCCACCCAGAAAGCTGGAAGTGGAGGCTGTTGACAGCCTGGTGACCTTTGTTATCTGTAGGGGCAGACCTCACCCTAACCTCCGGGGACATTTATCCCAGACTCTTCCCTATTAGACCTTTACCTTTAGCTCTCAGTAAATAGGACCATCCTTGTGGGGATGTCACGGGTACTTTAGACCCTGCTGATCTCTATGCTCTCTCTCTCTCTCAGAGACAACACTGGA